TTCATTCATATTGCGATAGCAAATAATACCAAATCATAATTCTAATAAATATTCTTCACTCATAAAGCTGACAATTTCAAAGTAATGGGCATCATTAAACAATGAAAATAGTAGCCAGAAAATAATGAAAGAGTCAATTATTTCAGAGGAAATATATTCAATTTGTCCTTTTTTTTATTTTAGAATTTGGTTTCGATGTTGGTTTCAAAGTTTTAAATAAATCTTTGTCTTAATCAAATTTCAATATTTAAAAAATTGATTTAATTAGAACTTTTTTTAATGGAACTGAGAGTAAATAAGGACTTACTTAAGTTAATTTTTAAAAAATTGAAACTTGATAGAAATAAAAATGTAAACGAGGATCCACTTAAAATATTTCAACCACGAAACCAACGGTTTTAGTGAGATTTTGAAAATCTTAATATTGGTTTTAGTACTTTTGAAGACAAGGTAATCTTATGAATATATTTTTGAAATTAAGATTCCGTTTGAAACTTTATTGTGCTTTCAAGGACACAAAATTGATGATGAAAACTTCAAATGAACTAATACTCGTATTGAACATTATCACAAAAAATCTATATGATATATGATTGTTTTTCGTGTAGTAGATCTGTTGGGATTTAAATTATCTGAGTAGACCACTAATTTTTTTATTTACCTCAATATACTTAACTACTTTGTAGATAGAAACTAGGTTACCTAGAACACGAAATTAGATGATAATTCATACAGAAATTTATGCATTTGTCTTGTTGAAGTTTGGCTTTTTAGGAATTGAATTCTAAGTAGATATATATATGTTTTTTGAAAATAAATTTTAAAACATGGAATACAGCATATAAAACGAATGAAAATACAATTTAAATTTTAAATAACTTAATTAATTAATTAAATTTCAAATCAATTAAATAACGAGATATAAATAAAAAATGTATATGTAAGAATAAAATTTAAAAGATAATTGAAATTAGAGAGATTACATTTTTTTGTTTTGTTTGAGCAAATAAATTAATTTATAAATTAAGTAATAGCTTTAAATTTTGTTCTAACAGATTTTTTTTTTAAGATAACATATTTTGAAATGAATTTCATCATTTTATTATATTTAAATGTAAAGAGAAATTTAAAATAAATTTTAGAAATGATTAATAATATTGATGAAATCGATTTATTGTAAAAACTTAAATATTTGTAATTTTAGTGATTTGAAAATACTTAGAACTCATGTTAATATTAAATGGTTTTAATATAAATAGTTTTATTACAAAGGAGTTTCGTTATTTTAAAATATAATTTCTCTAGAAATTACTTCTCTAAAGGTCTTTAACTTCTCTTTAGAAACCAAAACCGTAGGATTGATTCTTGCGACAAGCTATTTAATTTGTACCGATCAACTTCTTCATTTGAGTAAGTTGAGTTTCAACATTTTTCCTTTGTCTTTTCTTTTATTTGTTGCATGTGAGTATTGTTCTACTTGCATGTATCTTTTGAGTCATCAATATATGTCTCTGCTGATCAATGATCATAATGGTGTGTAATGATCGTTCTCATGATGTTTCTATGTGTATATAGAGCATCTTTCAAGTTGGGAGGAATTTCGCTGTTGTATGATTTCTAGAGCTGTTTGGTTATCTTTCAAGTAAGGGAAACTAATTGTTTTGTTTAAAGTTAAAAATGTGATGAATATGATAAATTGCATGTCTAATTGATGAGAGTATATTGAATTGCTAATTTGGTGTTTAACTTGTTGAAATTTGAATGTGTTACTATGTTTGTGTGTTATTTGTTTTGTGACTTGGTGTTGAGTTAAGAAACTGAGGATCTAACCATTTGAGCAAGTCGATATGCACTATGACATTGAAAACTGATTTTGAATCAAACGTTAAGTCAGGAATACCAATTTGATCATCTGAACAAGTCTCTTTTTCTCCAAATACAGAATTGAATATGTTTTTTTTCTGGTATGACGCTGAGCTGTGACAAGTTAGCGCTGAGCGCTAGTTCCTTGTGTAGGTTTGAGATCATTTTTTAGCTTCAGACCGCTAAGCGCCAAATTTAACATAAGTATTTTATGCCTCCATCGACTATTCTTGATCATTAAACCTAATAAATTTAGTTTTTATCATTAAACTGAATGAATTTGTGTTATTGTGTTACTGATTAGGATTTAGTAACTTATATTGATGGATGAGTCAATTACTAAACCTACTATGAATGTTGATGTCAATGACAAAGAGGATGGTGTAACTCAGAATGAGTTTGAATATGATAAGGAGAGTGTTCAACTTAATAACAAAAAGAATAAGCCAACAACTTCTAATTGCTGGAAATATTTTACTAGGATTGGAGTTGGTGATGATGGAAAGGAGAGGGCAAGTTGTAATGGTTGCAACAAAAAATACATAATTAGTTGTAAAGAATATGACACTTCCCATTTGAAGCATCACAATGAGAAATGTAGAAAAACTAAATGTGAAGATGTGGGCAAATGATAGCAAGGGAAGTTGAAAGCCAAAAAAATAGATAAAATGATTTCCCGTTAGATGTGTACCAATTTAATTATTCAACATGGTTTACCATTCAACTTTGTTGAGTATGAAACACTTAGAACTTGGATAACTTATTTGAATCCTAATGCAATATTAGTTTCTAGAAATATAATAAAGAGTGATGTTTTGAGAATATTTATGAAAGAAACAACCATATTAAAGGAAAAGTTCAAGAAAATTTCAAATAGGATTTGTTTTACATTTGATTTGTGGACGTCTTTAATTATTAATGGTTATATTGCTTTGAAAACACATTATTTAGACTCAAATTGGAAGTTGTGTAGCAAATTCTCAACTGTTGCCACTTCCCTCCACCTTACACTATATTTAAGTTGTCAAAGAAGATAAATGGATTTTTTTATGACTGCAAAATTGAGAAAAGAATCTTTTCTTTGACTTTAGATAATTCTTCTAGTAATGATGTTTTGATAAAAGCTTTAAAAAGTGAGCTTGTTTACAAAATGCTTTGGTATGTAATGGTGAGTTCTTGCATGTGCGTTGTTATGCAAATATTTTAAATTTCATTTGCAAGGATTGAAAGCTCTTAGTGATGTTTTAGATCATGTTAGGAAGAGCATAGGGATCTAAAAGTATAATGATGAAATTTAAATAATGTCTCTAAAAAATAGGAGACATGGATGTCAAGATTGTTTTGTGTATAGATGTTCCTATAAGGTGAAATTCAACTTTTTTTTATGCTTCAAAGTGCCCTTATATATACTAACATGTATTTACAAGTTTAGTATAGTTGACAAGAATTGCAAGTATTTTTTGTTTGAGGAGATATGGAAAAAAGTATAAAATATGTGTTTTCTTGTCACCATTTTATGAAATTATAGATATGATTTCTACCTCAAGTTATCCTACATCAAACTTGTACTTGTTACAAGTTTGGAATATCCAAACCCTTATAATGGAAAGTTTAAAAATGAAGATGAAGTTATTAGAGATATGGGTGAAAGGGTGATGGTGAAGTTTGATAAATATTGGGATGAATACAACATTGTCCTTGCATTTGGGGAAATTTTAGACCAAATGATAAAGTTGGAAATAATAGGATATTGCTATGAGAATGTATATCCTCTAACTTGGGATCTAAACTTAAAGAAGATGAAAAAAAAATTGCACAACCTTTTCTGTGAATATTGTTCCGAGAATGAGACTTCCCTTATTCTAAAGTGTAAGCATAATGATTAATCAACATCATCCTCAATTGCTTCTGTTAAGTTAATTGCTCTTAATGTAAGTCATTTCTTTTTAGTCATTAAATTACTATTATTATACATATAAATTAAACTTTGATTTCACTTTTTATATTAGGAAATAAAAAAAACAAGCTTAAAATTGCTGCTGAAATTGGAAGGATCCAACTTATATATGAACCAATATTGGATATTGATATTAGTGAAAATATAGATGTTTTCATCAACTGAATATGCTATAAGCACTGGTTGAAAGATTTCGAATAAGGATAAAAGTCATTTGTCAAAAAAGAAATGTGGAAGCAATAATTTTTAATTTTAATTGGATGCATGAGTTTTGTGATTATATATGGTAACTTCTCTAATTTAACTTTTATTAATTTTTTATTTTTATAAATAGTTTTTATATTTTATCTTTTTTTTTTTAATTTTATTTAATGTGATATTTAAATGATGATATTGATGAAAATGGAAGATTGAAAAAGAGTTGTCTTAATAGTACATTTAATAACAACCTAAAAACGAAAATGACGAAAATTGAACAAAGAAATGATGATGGAAGTGATGTGAAGATTTTGCATTTGGGTTATCTGATATTTTGATTGTTAATTTTTTAGTATTATAACAATTGAATGATTGGAAATTAGATTTCTTTGGTGTTTACTGATGTTATAAAAATTCAAATTAGGGATGTTTGCGTGAACAAACATTATTTAATCTTCTATATAATTAATGCATTAAATTTGTGGTTTTGTCTATTTGATTGTGTACACATCTGTTTTGAATGGGTTAGTAAATCTCAAATAATCTCAAAACAGATATACTATACTGTAGGAAAATAATCACGTGAACCTCATATATATTAAAACGAATTCTCTTTATTTATTTTTTAAAAGACAAGAGTCCACCATATCTTCAAATAAGATGGGCAGAATTGCTTTTAATATACACATTTATTTATTCTTCCAAGGAACATAAACAAATGCAAATTAAATATTTAAATAATATCATTTAATTCAAATATTTAAATAATATTGCTACAAATAGAGAGCCACTAGCTGTATTCGCTGAACACACATTCTAGAGTTTGGCAAGAGGGGCTTATTTGATAAGTGATATGAAATGGATTTGCTTTGGAATGGTTCACAATTGCTTTGCTGTGTTTTGCAATGGGTTCACAAGTTAATCTGTACTATTGAACTAAACGAAACATTAAACATGATCGTGCTATTGAACTAAGGGGATATTGCAGAACTCAATATTAAGTTGAACGACCAATGTCTATAACAAAAATAGGAACGAAGCTGAATAATTTTATTTAACGATACACATTTTGGTTCCACCAATAATGCCACTGAAAATTTACATACGAATCAGGTATTGCACACTTACATGTATGTGGCATTTAATTTAGCTCTATGATCGGTGGAAACGAAACTAATCACGGAGGTGACGGTAGAAAATAACCTTATATTTATATTATTCAACAATTGCATCAACTATATGTACAAAAATAACAAACAGTAATATTTGCAACATTACATGCTGGCAACAATGGAAGGAAGTTCTGCGTCTGCTTCATGATCTGTGGCTGATGTTTCCATGGTCTACGTACAAACAAAAGTGTGATTAGGAAGTGCAATTTGATAGAAGCAGAGAGAAAAATAATGCATTACAAATTATGCACACCTCTGAATCACTTTTCTGCTCTGTGAGATAACGATCCAATGCACCCTTACCATAAAGAATTTTAGCCCCTCTCCCAGCACACCCCACATTTCCAACAGCTTCTTCATCGACGACAGCAGCGTCAATAACATCGTCACCTGTTCTAACATCAGGAATCTGCACAAAACGTTAAATAAGCAAGCTAAATAGTCTACACGTTTCATGAAGCAGTACAATTCAATATGCCCAATTTTAGTGAATAGAAGCTCAATTATTACTTGTGTTTTAGTTAAAAGGAAGACTTCGAAGTGAGGGAGGATTAAACACAAAATTTAGAGAACGAATTTCTGGGACATCATTGAGTATGACAAGACATTTAAGGACCACCACAAGCTGATCAAATGACCATTACATAGTCATTAATAATATCAAATGGCGGAAGCAATTAATCCACTGCTTCACAAATTGGGCACAAGGGTGAACCTAAAGAAGGACATCTTAGATTGATTACTGTCACCAACAGAAAAGAAATTACAAATCATGGAAAGTAGGTACTTGTTTCAAGTTTCAAAACTAATTTATTGTGTCTATATTCTTCATAATAATAATAATAATAATATNCCAAATTCGCTATTCGAATTAATTTGGCTAATTTCCCAAGCTAGCAACAGTCGCAAAGCGACTACATTCGCTACGCGACTTACCAAACAGATAGCAACCCTCTATAGTCTTTCGCACAGCGCACCAACTCGCTATGCGAATGCTCAAAGAGAGAACACCTCTCTGTGAGGACTCGCTATGCGAAAACATTCGCTTAGCGAGTCTGCATAATCTACATAACTCAAAAGACTCAAAACAGTACTTCCTTAACTATTTACCCTTCTAACGCGACTAACACATGATTTCCACCTCAACCACTCCTTACTAACCCAATTGGTCATCGGAGAAGAATCAAATGTCTGAACGGATCAGTCTCACCTTCGACGCTAGCACATATGACTAGTTACAACTGACTGGATCAGACCAGGACTTCTTTATGATCAGGGATGTGCCAACTCAGGTTTTTAAGATTCCTCTATCCCACCAACATAGTACTCTCAACAAGTCACAATTGATTTATCTAAGTCCTCCAAACTGTCCTATGGTGTTCTATACTTCAAATTACTTAACTTCAATACCTCACAGTAACCTAAAACAGTACCTGTGCACCTACTTACTAACCACATGACCAACATTACATACTCCAAGCCTCTCCAACAAAGCAAGTACAACCAACAAATATATCCAAGTCAAATCAAAATCATCAAACCATGGTTACACAAATTTCACATATCCAACAGGTGCAACTTAAAACATGCTCACCCCAAAATATAGTGTAATAGTAAACCACTCAAAATAAATTAAACAGGCCAATCATACAGCTCCTAAAATATAACTAGCTCCCCTTACCTCAGAGTTGTATTACCAAGCTCACAAGGATGCCCCTTTTTGGTATCTCACACACGCGAACTCAATCCAAACCCGGTCCAAACGAAAATACGATCGGTTCAAAAGGAAGCCTTCGGTGCGGTGAACGTCTGAGCACCTTTCAACCCAAGATTGAACGGTTCAGAGACCTGAAAATTTAGAGAGAAGGCAGAGAAGAGTTTAGGACAAAGAGTCTTAGAGAGAGAAAAGAGCTCAGGAGAAATGAAAGTTCTGAGGAGTCCTTCCTAAGGCTAGGTTGGCCTTAGTCTGATGGGACTGGTTGCCTCACATAGGGCCCAATGGCTTAAACTTTTTCAGGCTGATATTATAAAAATTCAAATTAGGGATATTTGCGTGAACAAACATTATTTAATCTTCTATATAATTAATGCATTAAATTTCTGGTTTTGTCTATTTGATTGTGTACACATCTGTTTTGAATGGGTTAGTAAACTAACCAAACTGACAGCTCGGTTACCGTTTCAATTAGTTTACGTGTAAATTTCCATATATTTGATGAGTGGAAAAAAAATAAAACAAAATTAAAACTGACGAGTTAGTCTGACAGCTTGTGTGTTGAGTTGTAAAAATTTCTATTAAAAATTTATATATATTTTTATTTTTATTTTTACATTTTTTCGAATTAAAAATTTCTATTGTTTAAAAAAAACACATACCTGCTTATAATTCAGCTCTTAAGGAGCCGAATTCCAACAAGTCAATCCATAAACTTCTATACTTAGTAACCGAATATCTTTCGTGCACAATATTTGGATCTATTGAGGTAAATAAAAAACCAGATGGTCTACTCAAGAAAGTAAATCTCAAAACAGATATACTATACTGTAGGAAAATAATCACGTGAACCTCATATATATTAAAACGAATTCTCTTTATTTATTTTTTAAAAGACAAGAGTCCACCGTATCTTCAAATAAGATGGGGCAGAATTGCTTTTAATATACACATTTATTTATTCTTCCAAGGAACATAAACAAATGCAAATTAAATATTTAAATAATATCATTTAATTCAAATATTTAAATAATATTGCTACAAATAGAGAGCCACTAGATGTATTCGCTGAACACACATTCTAGAGTTTGGCAAGAGGGGCTTATTTGATAAGTGAAATAAAATGGATTTGCTTTGGAATGGTTCACAATTGCTTTGCTGTGTTTTGCAATGGGTTCACAAGTTAATCTGTACTATTGAACTAAACAAAACATTAAACATGATCGTGCTATTGAACTAAGGGGATATTGCAGAACTCAATATTAAGTTGAACGACCAATGTCTATAACAAAAATAGGAACGAAGCTGAATAATTTTATTTAACGATACACATTTTGGTTCCACCAATAATGCCACTGAAAATTTACATACGAATCAGGTATTGCACACTTACATGTATGTGGCATTTAATTTAGCTCTATGATCGGTGGAAACGAAACTAATCACGGAGGTGACGGTAGAAAATAACCTTATATTTATATTATTCAACAATTGCATCAACTATATGTACAAAAATAACAAACAGTAATATTTGCAACATTACATGCTGGCAACAATGGAAGGAAGTTCTGCGTCTGCTTCATGATCTGTGGCTGATGTTTCCAAGGTCTACGTACAAACAAAAGTGTGATTAGGAAGTGCAATTTGATAGAAGCAGAGAGAAAAATAATGCATTACAAATTATGCACACCTCTGAATCACTTTTCTGCTCTGTGAGATAACGATCCAATGCACCCTTACCATAAAGAATTTTAGCCCCTCTCCCAGCACACCCCACATTTCCAACAGCTTCTTCATCGACGACAGCAGCGTCAATAACATCGTCACCTGTTCTAACATCAGGAATCTGCACAAAACGTTAAATAAGCAAGCTAAATAGTCTACACGTTTCATGAAGCAGTACAATTCAATATGCCCAATTTTAGTGAATAGAAGCTCAATTATTACTTGTGTTTTAGTTAAAAGGAAGACTTCGAAGTGAGGGAGGATTAAACACAAAAAATTTAGAGAACGAATTTCTGAGACATCATTGAGTATGACAAGACATTTAAGGACCACCACAAGCTGATCAAATGACCATTACATAGTCATTAATAATATCAAATGGCGGAAGCAATTAATCCACTGCTTCACAAATTGGGCACAAGGGTGAACCTAAAGAAGGACATCTTAGATTGATTACTGTCACCAACAGAAAAGAAATTACAAATCATGGAAAGCAGGTACTTGTTTCAAGTTTCAAAACTAATTTATTGTGTCTATATTCTTCATAATAATAATAATAATAATAATATTAAGAATAATAATAGTAGTACCACTTTTAGGGGTAGCACTAGAGGTCAATAAGCATGTAGGTGGGTGCCAAGATCCAATGCTTGATGATTGTGCGGTGTCATTAAATTTTACTGTCTTTAATGTTATGAACCCCCACTAATTCTCTAAGCAAAACCAGCACCCCATGTCACACTACAAACAAATTACTTATACAAAAGAAAAGTAATGGCATACCTCATACATAGCATCTACCAACACATTCTCTAAGATTGATCGTAATCCCCGAGCACCAGTATTTTTAGATATTGCTTTTTTGGCAATTGATCTCAGAGCGCTTTCTGTATAATGTAGCTTTACCTGAAATTACATAAATTTTTTTGTCAAAACAGTCATTTCCATTCCAACAAAGCCTACATTCAAAATTCAATCGAGATAAGGACCAAATATTGATAAACTTATTTGTAATGAGGATGACAATAGTATTGATGGTGGTGACAATGATTATCATATGAAAACAATAATGATGGTGAAAGTGATGATAATGGTGACACTGATGACAATAGTAATTCTTAGAAATAGAATTTTAAACCCAACTCAACCTCACAAATATGTCCTGCAAGATGAGATATATGTCCACTCATATGCTGCTTTTTGAATAAATAGAATGCATTATAAAGGTGTTGTGTGCGTTCGGCTGCAGCTAGTTCCTAGATATATATTTTCACATTCTCTTCTATCCACTTTCATACATTGTATCTTGTGTATCTAAAGTCGGTTATAATGAGATCCTAAAAGAGGGAAATTAACTCTCTAAATTTCATTCTAATTCCTTTGTATTATTCTCAAATTGGTTTTGTTGGACCTATTGTCCCATCCACTATCGGAACACTCACAAATATCTAGTCAAATGCACAAGATATTAGTACCTAAGCATGAAGGAGTGTAATGGAGATTCCATGTCGACTAGAAATAAAGTCAATTTACAGTATAAGTGAACGTAAATCTCACCTTATAAGTTGATTTTGTGATGATAAGTTAGGCTTAAACCCACTTCCTAATATGGTATTAGAGCTTGACACATACAATTTGTATGCTCCAACTTGAGGTGTTGAGTGTTTTCCTCTGCACATAGTTCCTAGATATATCTTTTTATATATCATTTTAGATTCTCTTCTCTCCCCTCTCATACATCGTATTTAATGTAACTAAAGTTGTTAATACGAGATCCTAAGAGAGGAAAACTAACCCTCCAAATTTAATTCTAATTCCTTTGTATTATTCTCAAGTACTATAACATAATTATTAGAAATAGGACTTTAAGCCTAGCTAATCCTCACAAATTCAGCCTAGCTAATCCTCACAAATTCAGCCTACAAGAAGAGTTTTACATCCACTTATATATTATCATTTAGTCATATATCTAGTTATTGTGAGATCTCCAAGACACTCTCGAGTGTGGAACAAGATTTTGTGGATAGCCAAAAAGCAAGTGACACAATAAGTCCCACAAACTTTGCTAGGATAGACTCATATCATCTTAGAAAGTGAGCTTAGGCCTAATTTTACCTTACAAAACCGACTTGTAAGATGAGGTTTGTATCCATTTATATGTCATAATTAAGCCTAATACCTCTAGTTGATGTAGGATCTCCAATAGTAATACAAAATGATGGCGATGATAATGATGATGAAAGTCATCACAATAACGACATAAGTAGTAACAATTGTTATGATAACAAGGGTGACAGCAACAATGACAATAATGATGACAGAAGTGGTGACACTAGTGATAGTGTAATGATAATTGTTACAATGGAGATTACATCGTGATTGTGATAACAACAATGTTGACAAGTTTTGACAACAATAGTGGAAGTGATGGTGGTTGCCAAAACCATAGTGGTGCTAATAGCAGCACAGGTTACTATGATAGTTTTGCTGATAATGGTGTGTGATGATGATGAAGGTGGCAATGGATAGATTTTGTAACAATAACAAAGGTGGTGGTGGTATTTAATAGTGGTTGTAATAGAGTTGGGTGTAGAAAGAGCAAAAGGGAGGACGACTATCTTATCCTACTGCCTTGTAATCCAGCGCCCCACTTCCCCCAACCCCCCCTCCGGAATAAGAAATACACATTAACAAGATAGGATAAAGTAATCATATTTTATCGTTGCAACAAACAATTGATTAGAGCAGCATAATATGGTTATCGTATCCTTTCTAGCCTATCCTGGCAACCAAATGGGTCCTAAAACTACAATGAACAAGCAAGAAACAGAATTATTTATAAGTGGAAAGACCCATAAACCTCATACAATACAGTTTTGTGCCAGGATATTAGGCCAACCATGGTATCTTCTCATACTTAAACCATTGGAAACAAAACATGTCATCTATAAAATATACAAGGGAATAGAATGGCGTTGGTAAAAACTTACCCCATTCATTTGAAACATCTTCTTGTATTGCTTACCTAGAGCATTCTTTGGTTCTGTAAGAACCTATAGAAAGTTAAATCATTAATGGCATTAGGTAGCAAGAAAAATTGACCTTGTAAGGTTTAAAAAAAAAAAAAGAAATTAAGGTATACCACACAATTTGATTGACTTATGAAGAAAAATAAAAGGTCAAAACAAAGTCATATCAGGCTATACTTTTAGTTCGTGAGAATGCCAGTCCTTCTAACCACTTCCCATCCAATTATTTAATCAATCAATAGATACCTAATCTACTACATGATACATCATTCATTTGTAAAAACAGCCAGATGAGAAAAGCATTACAGGTACAACTTTTCTGAGCAACCAAATTGAATTGTACACACATAAAGACTACCTGAATGAGTTGATTTTCAGTTAAAGCTGACAAACTGACAAGGATAGGAAACCGCCCAACAAATTCAGGTATTAAACCATAAGCAATAAGATCACTACTTTCAACCTGCAAAATAATAATTTGAAAAATGTAATGATCCAAGTTGAATATAGTTGGGTTAATAAAAGCCGTTATCCTTAAAAGATCTGCCTCATGAAACTTACAGTTTCTAACAAGGATGATGCAACGGCAGCTTCTGTGACTTTACCAGTCCTCATGTTTGCACGTATAGGTGCCCCAAATCCAATAGAAGAATCATGTCGCCTAAAAGGGAATCAAAAGTTACTAGTTAGATACAGCAACACTTGATACTCCATATTATCAATGTCATTTCTATTAAATTTTCAGGAGATATGAACCTATCTGAGATTGTTTTCTCTAAGTCAATGAAGGCTCCTCCACAAATGAAAAGTATATTCTTTGTATCAATCTGTGAAGAGATTCAGATGGCTCAACAGTTATATAAATAAAATGAAGACTACAGAAGCCTCTTAAGTAATATAAAAGGATACCAGAAATTAAATTCAGCCAAACCAAAAACGCATGTATAAACATTTGAACAAACTGGAGAATGAAGAGAGAAAAAGAACAAGAGAGATCAGTTAAGCTCTCTCATAGGTTTAGAACAAAGAAAACTCTTAAATGTTGAAATGTCATTGCAACCATGGACCAGCACCTTAAATATATCTGATAAGTCCCAACAAGCATATAAATACCTAAAATGGTAAAGCACAAAATACTAATACACACATACCTGAATATTGTCACCTCTGGGATGCTTTCGGGCTCCCTTCTCAGGAACATTGACAATCTTGATTTGAAAGAGTGCAACAGGGTCAATATAAATGAATTGCTAAAATACAAAAATCAGAAAGAAAAAAAGAAATCTAGCTTTGTTAACTATCCACTAGCTTTCAATGTTGATCACATGAAAATAACTAACCGTTCCCTCAAGCATCTTTAGTAATGCCTGCTGAACACCTTCACCAGAAACATCCCTACTGATATTAAGGCTCTCCGCCTGAAATGTAAAGAGTAGTTGTAGAAAACAGCAGACAAAACATTTGGTTTTGAAATTAGGCAGATGGAAGAAAAAGTAAAAACAGGGAGGAACCTTTTTGGTAATCTTATCAACTTCATCGATGTAAATAATGCCTTGTTGTGCAGCTGCAACATTATAATCCGCAACCTGGAAATAAACTCATGCAATGTTGATTCAGACTACCGTTCGTAACACTATGTTCATTTATGACACTTTCATCAAATTGCAACCACTCTATTTGACAAAAGAAGCAATAAAAGTCTTAAAGATTAACAAACCATGGAGAAAACCATACTACAATAAAAACAGAAGGGAGTTAAAGATAGAAGAAAATAATTCCCATCAATAGAAGATTTTTCAAAAGTTTGCACAACAATAAATATTATATGCAAAAACTTGTTGGGCCAGCAGAAATCAAAATATCTTAAGCAGGAAAATTCTCCACGTCAAACACTTTAAACCCATTTTACATTTGATTTCACGTGGATAAGGCTTTGAAATATTAAAATTTACATTTTTTTTTATCAAAAACCAAATTAATCCCTCAGAGTGCACATAGAATCATTGGTCTTGATCAATCTATCAAATGATCCCCAAATTACCACTTTGTATTAAAAACACAGACAATCATTAACCAGAGTATTTACCATGAGGAGCTTGTATAATATGGACTCAACGTCCTCTCCAACATAACCAGCCTGTTCAAAGGTGGCATGGGGGTTAGACACGTAAGATAAACATGTTGCTTCACAGAAAAAAAATCAGGATGAAGTTTTTTGTGATAAATGGAACAAGGCATAATAAAGGCAAGAATTATAATCACAGTAGAAAAAGGAAACAAAATAAAAAGATTCCCAAAGAACCTTAAGGGCACATTGAATTTGATAAATCGAAATGTTTTGGACATATATCTAAATTTCTCTATGATTAAATTTTGCATAAATTAGCTATACCTTTTGAAAACATAAAATTACAGGATGGTAAAATGTGTCTTTTATGCTGAAAAGGTACAACATAGAGGGGAGCTTAACAAATCTTTGAAAAGAATAAGCCTCCAAACATAAACAATTTCATTCACTAGACAACAAAAAAATATCAGAAAACAAGAATATAACTCACAAACTTGCCTGAGTGAGTGAAGTTGCATCTGCAATAACAAAGGGAACATTTACAAACCGAGCCAAAGTTTTGGCAAGTAATGTTTTCCCTGTCCTTGAAACAGCATCAAAGAAAAACAAGTTACACTAGTAAAGCAGGAGTAACAAGGAATTAATGAAATGTTCACAGAAACAAAGATAAAAAAAAAAAAGGCCCAATTACTAAAAAATATGATTTCGGTGTAGTATATAGCTATATACCCAAAGAGCTCAGCACAAAAAGTTAATATATTAGCTAAGAATCATCTATCTCCATTCACTCAAACAATTTGTTATTCCAAAACGGAAGCAACAAACATCAAATTATACACTATAATTTATAAAAACTAGAGGAATATAAACAGCTAAACACTGAGATAGAAGGAAAAAACTGATTTACCAGATCCTGTTGGCCCCATCAGAAGGATATTGCTTTTCTCAAGCTCAACTCTATCATCTTCAACAGCATCAGCCTTCACATTATCATCCGAATCTCCTGCAGGCCTAACAATCCAAATAGTAAGAACATGTAAAAGTCAATTTGCACACACATATACAATCAATCCACATAACTGAAAAAAACGTAAAGTTCAGAAAAGAATAATAACACTAACCACTTGGGTAAAGAAGACTCGTTAAATATCCTCTTATAGTGATTATAAACCGCAACAGAAAGCACCTGAAAAATGCAATCGAAGCACAATTAATAACAACAACAACAACAACAAAAGTCCCAAAAAGGAAAAAAAGTGTCGAAAAAGAGTGACAAACAAACACCTTTTTTGCCCTCTCTTGTCCAATAACGAACTTGTCGAGCCCCTTGCAAATCTCCTTCGGCGTAGGGAAATTGTTCCCTAAATTGGAGCCCCCCCAACACCCCTCTTTCGAATCGCCGGAGTTGGGGGCGCCGCCAGCAACTTCAAAGTTGGAATTTCCGGAACGAACGACAATCCCGCCGCCGGACCACACCTCGGGCGGGTCCCCTAAGGAGGCAACAACGTTGTAGCCTCTCGAAACCCCGAAGGTGGCGCGTGGAGGGCAGCGAGAGCTCCCGGCGCGTGTGAAGCTGAAAAGCAAGTGGTTGAAGTGGACGAGTGCGAGGGTCGCTGTTTCCCTGCAAGGCTTGGATCGAAACGCGAGCATGGTTTGCGTTTGGTGTACGAGATTGAATTGGAAAGTTTTACGATGTTTGGTGTGTGAGGGGAATCGAAGAGAGAGAATAAGACATTGAGTGTGGAAGGAGCAGAATTGAGGTTGCCGGAAAGTAATTTGATAATTTTGATGATGTTGTTGTGAGTATAACGCCACGCCACACCACCTATCGAACTCCTCCAAAATCTTATTCCTTCACCCCACTACCAAACACTTCGAGAAAGTGAAGTGAGAAGAACTGACGAAATAGAGTCAGATACGTCTCATGGACTTTTTAAGAAAAATAAAAATAATTTACCTTCTTTTAAATATCTTATCATTTCAAAAGATTTTTCTCATCATCAACTACGTTTTAGATTATTAGTTTTTATTTTCTTGTTCGCCATGGATTTTATATATACATTTAATTCGAATAAAAAATATATCTTGCAATATTAGTCGAACAAAAATTAAGAACAGATAATTACATATGTTTTTAATCATTTAATTTTTGTGTAAAATTATATTTTGTTTTTATTTTAAATTTTGAATTTTTTTTTATAATTTAGTTTTAATATTCAAATAGTATTAAGGAATTGGTAACTATACTGTGAGATGTGTGTCCATTTCATCGTAGCATTTTAATACATTAACAAATTTTTAACATTATTTTATTACGAGAATTAAGTTTGAGAATAATAAAAGTGAAGATAAAAAAAATTCAATTTCACAAACGACTAAAAAACATGTTTCTCCAATTATAAAATTACTAATAGCTACGTAGAATTTAAATAATTGGATGTGGTAAATGAGATCTTTTGAAACACTTATTAAGAAAAGTTTAATGATTACAGTGGTCTTTATCCTTTTTTAAATCACAAATTGTCTTTTTTATTTTTATTTTTTTCTTAATTAAATTTTTATTTGTTTAGGACCGAATGTATATTATAAAGACTTCGTTTATCTGTAGACCGTTTTCTACACCTATTATTTGTTTTAAGTCTAATAATAAGCTTTAGTCCATCCATTCTCTTAGTTAAAAGACACTGGTACCAAGTATCGAGATTGGGATATCCGATTCCCGATATATGGTATGTCAACATGCTTTAGGGCTATAGCCCTTATTTAGAAAGGTCAAAAAGGCACTTAGCCCTATATAATACAATTTCTAATTTAGAAAATTTGATATAATCTGATCTTTTCTGTGTACTAACATTATTAAAGAAAGTATTACATGCTAGTTTGAGTTTTTTTATTTGTTAAATATTTTTTAATTAAGTTTATTTTTATTTTCATTGTTTTAATTTTAAAAAAATAACAAATTTGCGACATGCTAAATCAATATTATGTCATGTGACAATGGTAGCATGATGTGATAGGTAGTATGATGTGACAATGATAGTGTCACATATCACTATCATGTCACATGGCCTGAGTCACAATTTAGTCCTTGTATCTTTAATGAAGCTTTCTCCCTACACCTCACTAAGTTCACCCTACACTTTCCAATTCTTTTCTAATTCCAATTGTTGTTAGTGAGAATATTTTGGTTTTATAAAAAGCTGACACACCCCTACAAAGAGAAACCTTCCTCTGTCGCATCTCACGTTTAAAACTCTATAGCCCCTTCTCGACCCTTTCTTACGCTCCTCCCCTGCTCCCCTCCTCCCTCCTTTTTCACCATTTTTTTAACGTGGTGAGTGCTCTTCCTTCCCCCTCCTCTCTGGTTTGTTCAGTGTTTCGTGTTGGTGTCATGGTGAGCTGTAGTAGGTATCTTCTTCTCACACATTTCAGTACATCAAGCTTAGCTTTTTCCATGTTAGTTATTTTGATCTCTTACTGTTAGATTATATGATGCATGGATTTGTGTGGGGAAAAAAAATGCTTTCTTGTATGATAGAATATATTTTTGTGCTTCATTTCTGTTGATATGTTTGAGCATCGTTTCTACTTGATCTGGGCTGAACTAGGAGGCACAAGCTTAACCGCACTTGGAATTGCGGCTAATGCCCGCCACACTTGGAAGTGCGGATAAGGGTGGTGCCGCAGTTGGATCTGCAGCTGATGGTAACCGCAGTTGGATCTGAGGCTGATGTTAACCGCAGTTGGATCTGCGGTTGGGTTTTCAGCATGTTAGCGCACTTGGAAATGCGGATGCGGGTTGTTCGAAGTTGGATCTGCGCTAGAGTCTAACCGCACTTGGATCTGCTACGGTTGTCGCCACACATGGAGTTGCGGTTCAAGGTTATTTTTTCTGCTTTTTGTTTTTTTGTTTATTACGTTAGTATATTTTTTTTTAACAATTTTTATTTTTGTTTGTAAAATTTTATATTTATATATTATGTAATTTTAATTTTTATGTTAGGTTTAAATGTTAAATAAAATGTAATATATTATTGGAGTATATTATGAAATTTTTTATTTGTTTGTTAAATTTTTTTGAAATTGTTTTTTTATATAGGGTTTAGGGTTTTTTGAAAATGTAATATTTATTATGAATATAATTTTATTTAATTTTTTTATTTTTGTTTATGAATTTGTAATTTTGGTTATATTATTTATTTAATTAAATAATTATTATTATCCCAAAATTTATTTTCTTACAAATTACTTTTTTCTTATTTGTAATTATTTAAGTATTACTTAAGTAATTTTTTTGTTATTTTATTTAATTGTTTATTATTTTATTAGTCCTTTTTTATTTTTTGATTATTTATTAATTGTTTTAATATTTATTATTATATAATTATTTATTTTTTTGTATATAATATGTTAATAATATAATTGGTTAATAGAAATTGTTAGAACTAGAGGTGCATCATCTTATCGTGGTGAGGCTTCATCCTCTCGTGGTGAGCCATCATCTTCATCACATGATGAAAGGAGACGACCTACGACATATGCTCATAGAAGACGCGTAGAAGAATATTGTGTGAACGTCATTGATGAGCATGATCATGAGGAGCATGATCATGAGGAGCAGGAGGAGTTCATACAGTAGGGACATGGTGAGGATGATTATGTTGAGTAGGAGGATGTTCAACAGCAGGATGACTATAGTGAGGAAGAAGATGAAGATGAAGATGAAGAGGAAGAGGAAGATGATGGATTTCCAGGAGGTCCACGTGACACCTCCTTGCTTACACATTATATCCAGCATGTTGCATTTGCCATATAGCAAGGCCGGGTTAGTCATCAACCTAAATGTTAATTATTCATTAATTGTTAATTTATTTTTGTTATATAATTTTTTGTTTTTATGTCGGATCGAGGGGAGATCAAAGTGATGTCCCATGGTAAAAAATTGAAGCATTTTGGAATATACCATGAGGCCATTGAGGGTTATATCTCCATGTCGGGGTTGGCTTCCTTAGTCAACCTATCGTACGAGTATGTCGATCATGGATTGATTATTTCCCTTGCGGAGAGGTGACACCTAGAGACGAATATTTTCCACCTCCTGATAGAAGATATGAACGTCACATTATACGACATTCACAATCTGCTCCACCTACCTATCATGGGGCAATTTTGTGAGGTGGAAGAGTCAGAGTATGATGAGGCTCGATCTCATCTTATGGACTTGCTTGGCATCGACCATGCCAAAGCTTCAGTAAAGATGAAATAGTCATGCGATCCAAAAGTTAGGCTTAGCTGGCTCCGCGAGGTCTACCAGGAGTGGATTGAGTAGGAGCTTTGGGAGTGCATTGTTCGGGCCTACTTGTTACATCTGCCTTGATGCACAATATTTATGAATAAGAGTGGGACATTGATTCGGGTCTCGTACCTCCTTCTGTTGCGAGACTTGAATGCCTGTGCGAGATATGCTTGGGAAGTAGCTGCACTCGCACATACTTATGAGCAACTAGGAGATGCTAGCTTCACTACTATCAAGCAGATAACTGGATATTCCACTCTTCTACAGGTACATTTTAGTTTTACAATTTTTTTAATATATTTTAGGAATGTATAAAATAATTTAAGTAATGTTTTTGTAGAGTTGGATATATGAGCACCTTCCTGGCATGGGAAGGAGGCGAGTGTCGAATAGGTACACAAAACTCGATCCACGGGCTTCACGATATATAGCTCTGAGGCAGGGTTGGAGCCTGACAGAGGGGCAAACATATCTAGATGGGCTCATGTATGATGTGGTCATCTGGCATCCATACATTTCACAAGAACATACATGTCCATTCATGGCCATATGTATGTTTTTAGGATGGATCCAACTAGGTGACATGATTCACCGACATCTGCTTGAACGTGTGTTGCATCAGTTTGGTTTTCAGTAGATTATACCACGTTTGCCTGAGAGCCTTCTGATGCCAGACATTCCTATGATTGATCTAAATTGGCTGACGTATGTAGAGCATGTCATTACTGGTGTCGTTGAAGCTCATGAGCTTTATGTGTGTGTTGATGGATACCTAGTGTGGTTTAGACAGGTGTCCCACCCATACATCACTGTAGCTAATGACGATGACCGACCAAGTCTTGCACCGCACATGACGCGACACCTTCCGGATGACATCCCGGTGCCCCTAGTTCGTCGTAGATGGTCGCTTGAATCTAGATTGTTGGTATGTAATGAAAATAAGTGTGATTGTTTATTATATCAATTTTTGTTTACATAGTTAATTTATTTATTTTGTTATATTCATTTCAGGGTGGTATGAGGCGTGTGATCAGGAAGTTGCAGAGCATGTTAACCTGTCAAGACGTCACATAAGGCACTATAGCTTATCAGCGTACTACTGAGACACTGCAGGTTGCTCGTAGATCCGTTGAAGAATATGAGGCCAATATTAGTTATATATGTTTTTTTAATGCTTATTTATGTAACACTTAATTATACTTTGACTCTTTATAATGAATATTTATGTATGGTTTTCATACTGTGACTAATTATAATTTATTGAACATGTTAATATGAATCGTCTTCGTTCAATCAAATTATATAACGAGACACAATTCAAATAAAGGACAATTAATACGATAATCAATTCAAAACAATGAATTAGTACAAAACATTTTTACAATGAATAAATAAATTACTAGAAAAAAAACTTATATTCAGTCTTCTCCAAGATCTACATAAGTTCTATTAACTCCCATTAACTCCATAAATGATTGTATCCTATGTGTATAAAATGAGGACCATGATCGCGCCTCTGGGTAACAATGGTTTGAGGAAATGATGTCCACCATGGGTAACAAACACCATCTTCTAATTGAACCTGTAAACATAATATTAGTAAATGAATCGTAA